AAACTTAAAAATCAAGTTGCCATATTGGAAAGCGGCCCCACAAATAAAGCCATAGAAACACTTCTTAGCTAATTCTTTCTTTTCTACTGTAAATAAATCTCCAAATATTTCCACAAGTTCTTCCCAGTTTCTTTTTTTCAAGTCCCGGTTTGCGTATTCAATAGCAGATGAATCCCATAGTGATGGTCGGGACTGAATTTCAATTATCAATCTTTCGGTGTCGAAATTATCCATGTTTGGAAGAAACAGAAATACATACAAGCACATTCACGCACGGACGTCAATGGACTGGCCAGACTGTCATGTGATGTTGATTTGGCCTTGGCCGTGGCAGCGATGCCAGTAGCATTTGAACTTGGCATCGTGGTTGGCAGCGATGCCATGTTGGAAGCGCTGCCAAACGGATGCCAGGTGCGATATATGACTACTAAATTAATGCATTGAGTTTGGCCGAGATGCTGGCAGCTGTGCCATGGCCTCCCGTTGGCATCCTAGTGCGATATCGCCCTTAGCCGTGTCTCAGGCTTCTAAATATTGGTTGATGGGGATATTTTTCATGATTTAAATACGGTCGGAACGTGAAGTTAACCACTCAACAAAATCTAGTTCCCAGGTTAAGAATAAGTAGGGCTTTACATTCACACCCCTTCATGGCGTGTTTTTAAAGTTCAGTAATTCTTTTGCCCTTCTACATACGTAAGCCTATGTCAAAAAAGCGTGCACGTATTTTTCAGGATAAGGTTCATGCAACGTAAGACTTTCGTATTATAGCTACTCAATTCACGGACTGAACATTTGCATGTTCCGAGATGGTACCAATAAAATGTGAGCCTCTTTTTGGGTGGCGGGCGAAATGTTTCTCTTTATTTGTGTGGGAATAACAGACACTGTAGTCATGAAATCAGTAAGTAAAAGACGCGAAATGTAATGCAGTTGAAGTGTTTCGGCGTTATTAAGAAAATGTCTGGTGGTTATTTGCGTCAATGACGATCTCAATTTTGCAAATTCTTGATTCTGTCGACGTTCATCATGAACTACATTTTCCGCTTGTCGCCTTATCTGTGATTATTTACATTCCACAGAAAACGAGACGTTCAATGGAGATAAAATATTGACTTTAACTTCTGGTCCATCTCAGTAAGCAGCATGGATAAGACTAGGCTGTTGAGAGCAACGTGTTTTTGAGACGTGGTAGATACCAAAAAAGCGTGTTTCAGCGACGACTGGGGAATCATTTACAGTGGATATAGACTCTTCACTGCTGTGGTCACAACTCTCCAGTTACGCGGTCTGCATTTACCAGAAACCTAACCTGTGAATCTATCCGACAAACAACTTGTTACAACGCTAAACTCCTTTCTACAGGATCACAAGTTTTCAACAAGTAATGAACATACACTTCCTTGATGTTTTTCGACTGAAATATTACAAAAACTTTCATGTTTTTTGTATGTCTCGTCATCAAATTTTAAGCTTAATTGACAATCACCAACTTTCACTTTCAAAACAAAAAAGTAAAATTACAGTTCTTTTAAGGTTTTAAATAACTTAACTAACCTGATACAGGAATAAACGCAGAGAAAACGAAGCCAGTGTCAATGTCTCATTACTAGAATGAGGGGGAAAACTCATAATAAAAAAAACACAATATAAATCATTCACGCAAAAGATGAAAAACTTCAGATATTTCAGAACGATGGTAAAAATCAATAAGACGGGACGAAATTATGATCAAATTCAATTACGAGAAGGCTTACTGCCCTTCTGTTGAGTTGTTAGTTCTTTTAAGACTTCCATGTGTACAGGGGACAATGTAATCATTAAGCGGAATTGGCTAATTCATGATCGCTTGCAGTGGCGGGAACATCGTAAACAGCATTAACGAAAATTCGGTTTTCATAAAAGACTGGAAATTCTGTCGAACTTAGCAACTGTCAGCTTCTCATTACAGACCTTGCACCATGGAGTCAGGCCTTCACAAACAGGTTACGGTAACATAAAAAATTCAGAAATAAAAACAGCAATTATCTCCTGTATTTAAACTGCCGTTAATTTAATTTAATTAAATTTATAATAATATTTTCAAATGTTATTATCCCCACGTTCTGGGCAGAATTTGTGTTTAACTTACTGTCTGTTATATTACTGCCACTGAAAAATGAGATCATATTAACCCACGAGCTAGATAATGTTGACTCACCCTGTCTTCTTGGAGTCATGTGACGATAAGCCTTCCAACAGTTGCAACCTTGCTTGTCTGGTGTCTGTCAAGGCATGCCTCCTACGCAGTTTGCACCGAAAATGTGATGCGTTATTACAAGCTTGCAGTCGACAAATTCTTGCAGATAATGTTTGTATTATTCCTGGTTGCTATGAAGCAAATAACAAACTAACGATGCAGTCACAATTTGCACTAAAAATGCCACGTTCTGTGGCCCATTCACTGTGTTCACACAAGCGGTTTGAGCTCAAGAATCGCTAATATTCATTCACCACACAATCTGAGCTGCTTAATAAGCAAGACAAGAACCATTGTTTATCATACACGAAACTGTCTACACACTTCATACACAGCAAAGTACCACTATGAAGCAGTATTAAGACATCAACACTTGGTTAAAAGTTAACTGATAAGCATCCACGTTCACGTTCAGCCTGGCAGTGCCTATTAAACAAATCTGAGCAAAGCGAACATAAGCCTCTCCTTTAGCTATGTCACAAGACACTTCACTCCCTGTTGCCACCCCACCGTTTGGCAGTGGCCTTCACGTCATAGACAATACCAACTTAAACCTTTCGCAAGATATCCCGAGCAGAGCTAGAGACAAGCAACGACGCAACAAGACAGTTGGTACAGGCTACAGAGCGTTTATAAAGAAATATACCAACTGTAACAGTAAAAATACATTCATTTCGATTAATAATTACTCATATTACGCATGATATCATTTCAATGCACTGATTAATTCGGCCTGAATGTATTTAGCGTTAGAATAAAGTATATCTCTCCGACCTCCTCTCAAAACTTAAAGTAACCCGTGGCTTCTCAAAACAGAAATTTATCAAGTAGCAAATAAGATGTTTTTTGGAAATAAAAGCCAATAAGGAAATAGTTAATACAGGACCACGAGCGTGCAATAACAGTTAATTATTTAAAACTTGAAGCTTATCCGATTATTACTTAAATAAGCTGTTCACACTTCCAAGAAACAAACCGAACCTCCGTTACACACATCTCGTAATGATGCAGGATACATTTATTCTTACAAGCAAATAAAACCCAAAACTGTATACACTTTCTTGGAGAAATTCCAGTGGCGAAAACTCATCTACAGGCCAAAAAGTGGAAATGAAATGATATTAAATCCGCCACTCCCCACAACCAATTGCTTCATAATATGTTGAGGTATTTTAATAATAATATGCACAATAACATTTCTTCTTCTTATCTTCCTCTAATTTTAGTGGCGTGGGGACGCAGTACAAGCCAGACCGGATCTTTCACCACAGTAACATCTGGACTTGATACAGGTGACAGTTACTTGTAAAGGTTTAGTCAACAAGCAAAATTCCTTTATATTCATAATATTACATGTGTGTACGAAATAAAAGCAAGGAGTGACGACCAAGGACATCCACTGGCTCGGATGTCCAGTTTAAACATATTTATAATCGTATTTCCTAAGCGATGTTTAAAACTGGAGCAAGTGATGTCATTTTAACCTTACAAGAAATGAAAATTCTATGCTTTGTCCAATGTTCGTTTGTAGATCAACGCTCCACATACAAAATACAAATATCGACTGAAATTATGCAATTATTTGTGTAGAGTGCAAAGAGTTATTGCGTATCTCAAAGCAGCACCATCGATTTTCTGGAAGTGCTGATAAAAGACGCGAGAAGACAGAACAGCCAATGGGCCTTACCGGTGTTCGAACCAAGTACGTTGGTTTCCGTGCAGGAGGCTGGATGAATGAACACGTTTCGTGTTTTCCTTTGCAGGTCTATCGGTTTGTATATCCTGGGTGCAGGATCACGGAACACGTAACACTTAATAAGCAGAAATCTCTACACCGTTAAATACAAAAGAAAAATTATTTCGTCACAAAGGTATCGACTAGGACATAAAAATAGCAGTGTACACACCATGAACATGTGTATGTAATAATTACCTTGGATTCCTTCCTGAACTATAGACTTTATCTCTTCTACACACTTGGTACAAAGGAGAGGCTTATTCTGTTAAAACTTTCAGCACTGTTTTAACAAACCACTCTGGCTGAACCTCACGCCACGATCACATGCTTCAAGCAACTTCAGAGTCTGAGGGTGAAATTATAACTTTGACAATACTTAGCACTAAGAACATTTTAATTTGATACATCTGAAATGCATTGTGATCAGTGGCAAGTGTTTATCCATATAGCGAGATAAATACAAAGTGCGTTGCTACAGAAACACCGAACAGCGGGGCACATCAAAGGATTACTGTAACTGTCATGTCCTCCTGTCACTGTTCCAATGCACCGCGACGCTGCTTCCTGCCAGGAGAGCCACTGACCGTCGCTGCAAACGTCTCTACCGACGCCCGACTGAAACCCTTCTGGCGTCGAGAGGGCACGGGAGAGAATCCTGCGCGAGGCACCGCCCCCTGCTAGCCAAGGCGCAGAACCATATGACGTCACAATAGTTATAGTGTTAATTATTATTGTTGCTGAGCAGAGGTACATTGTTCGTATCCAGACCGGAACCTTCTGACAAGATGTTAGTAGTACTCGTTATTAAAGTTTTGCTTGCTTCCAAAGTGGTCGTGGTGAATATGAAGGTGGTACCATTCGGTCACCTACAAAGAGCAGTAAACTTTAAAATAACTTTTTCGTAATGATCTTATAAAATAGCCTTTTTAGAGGATCGCGTTATATTTTGTCACATTTCTAGATTTCGAATCGAGCGCGTTAAGAATGAATTAGTTCGATCAACTCCGGGATAGTTAAGTGACTATCTCATTGCGTCTTGGAAAGGTTAGAAAGAAAGGGTTCGCGGCATATTTCAAGAAACTATCCCGCTTTTAGCCTGGAATTACTTAAGAAGTCCGCTTATATACTCAGTCAAGATGCCAGTTATATTTTAAAGTATTTTCGAACCCATTACAACTGACAGTACGTTGTACGCTGTTAAGAAATTAGCTGATTAGAAGCGTTAGGATTCAGTAGAAACTTATCAGGAGTTAATTTTCTGTTAAATATTACTAGCGGTTAGAACGCTGGCCTTGTAATCCTGGGGTCCCGGGTTCGATTCCCGGCGGTGTCCGAATTTATAACTTGTGTTGGGCAAGGCCGTGGTCTAGGCAACACGGAGTTTTCCTCCGGGGGCTTCCCCGGTTTCTCCGTGGCATCCCAACAATTACTCCATTCACACACACAGAAGAAGGCAATGGCAAACCACTTCTGGATCATCTGCCAAGAACGTTTATGAACAGGTCACAGTCCGAGATAAGGATGGAAGGATCCTGTTCATACGGACCTGTCGTCAGACAGAACACTAAATAATAATAATAATCGTCTTCACATTGTAGTTCTTATAATTTCTTGGAAATGAACGTCTCTCTGCCACTGTGTTGGTCACTACACATTTCACTGACAAAGGGAAGTGTTTGGCGTTAGAAGCCCAATTCTGTTTAGGTCACTGACATTCTAAATTCAGTCCATACGGGCAGTGTAATTCTCTAGAATAGGGATAAGATCACTGTAAGTTTTCTGATATTATGAGATATGCAGAGAAGCTAAGATCACCACCCATGCAGATATGGCATTCGAAGGCTACCTTACAACCACTGGAATTGGTTAGCTTGTGGTATTAGTCACAACACAACAAATAACCTTTAAGAGCTTGCGGCTGAGTCCTTGAGACTCATTGCCCTGTTCTCAGGAACCCGTCACATAAATACTCTCCAAAGTCAGATAAAATTTTGTTCAATGCCTATTTTAATATTTCACTCACATTTATATCCGTATGTTCTAAGTGGTTTCATTCATTTTGGTTTTCCGATCAAAATTGTGTATTCATTTCTCACTTCTCCGCTTTGTGTCAATTACATCCTTTTTAATTTGATCGATACAGTAATTTTACTTCTGTAGCCTAAAAACGTAAACAAATGCATACGCATATCACAGCATCTAATCTTAGTTCAAGGAAGAGTCAATCAGTTTAGATCGGCTCAAAGAAATCGCATCACGTGACAGTCCACACAACAGTTTTTTATCTCAAAATGGCTAACACTGTGGTGATCATATTTCAGTCACTCATACGAAGCATTATACCAATTCAGAATGCCATTCATAGTTGACATTCATTGGGGAATAATTAAAATAATTCGGGACTTTATATTTTGCCTTAATTCTTACAACTGATATGAGGGAACTGATTCGTTGTGCATTTTGTATGGCTTCATATGTGGCACTAGCTATTTTGTGGAAAGGCCAAGATTAATGGTTACGTCTATGCAGGTTAATTACATGTACAAAGGGACTTATTTTACCACTTTCCAATTTACATACGAGCTCCATGTTTAACGTTGTAGTAACATTGGCTTTGCACTCGGTATAAAGAGAAATGCAGTAATCGCGATATTGCGTGCCCCTTGGCCAAGGAAATTAACATTTTAAATTTCACAGTGCTCTCTGGCGGCGACAACACACTCTGTGTGAAATGGGCAGCTCAGCTGACAAAGCCCAAAACATGTAACTAACTAACTAGGCCCATTTAATAATCAAATTGCTTTGATAAAGACTACCTACCTTAGCGACCAACCAACTAATCATTCACGTTAACTAATCGCCCTACTACTTATCTACGTAAGAAATAAATGAATATGTAAGTACACAGGAAACTATTAACCAAATTTAATATGCAATTAATTATATGCTCAAATAATTTACCCGACTAACTAACTACCAATCTGAAGAGGATTGGAAAGTTGTAATTAGTACAGACATGCAGCTTTGCAAATTTTGAATCGCTAATAACGTTTACGTCAGTTATCGTACATAATATAAATAATATAAATCTAAGTGAGATTTGGAGTTCCAATGGCGCCGAGTCTGAAGATGGCTGTCTTCTGGGTTGTAGGGTTGTGTGGCCTGATAGACGTTGCTGGAGGTTCGGAGGTACTTGCTGCCTCCATCACCAGGGCGACCATCTCCCTGATGATGGAGGCAGCAAGTACCTGTGAAAAGTCGGTAAATTTCTACCAGACTGCACGGTGCTGCAGCCCAGAGAGAAACGAAATTCTTGGAACAGTTAAAATGGCTTCCGGGAAATTTGTGTTAATCGTTTCAATATCTAGTCGAAGAACTGGTCAGACACTGCAGTTCTGCTGAAGCCCTTCATGTATGTACTTATGATAATTTAGTTTGTGAGAATGTCAGCTAGACTAGTAAGAAGCAAGAGACGTATGAAATGATTCGCTCAACCGTGACATAGAACACCGTGTGTAGCAGCAAAGCTTGGTCCTTTGAGCATCGAAACTTCTATTGAAATTCGAGTTTCCCGGAAATTTCAAGCAGAATAAGGATCCATCTCTCCTCTGGCTGGCAACAGCTCTCCTTACTCTAACTAAAACTAACCTAGGAAGATACACTGCAAATAGACCACTACTTTATCTAATATTCTTGGCATATAAGTAACCCTGGCTGGAGTACCGGGTTCAAAAACAGAGTGATATCGGTTGAGGTAGGCTTTATCTCACTATTTCGGTCTTCCTCTGACAAGTACCACGCCGCCAATACCCCGATCTGTGTGCGACAAGTCAGACGAGCCAGCAACATATCAAAATTTCTGTCAACATTTGAGGTTTCGTCTCTGAAGTTGCACTTCATTTTGTCACTCGAACTAGACAAAATAAACTACAACATTTTAAAGAGGACCAATTACATTTTTTCACATTAGTTAAATGTGGAGGACAAATAGTATCTATATGACTGTGAAACGCAGGAGATCACGACGATGGACTGGACAAATAACACGGATGTGACGGAAAAAGACAAATCTAAATTTGATAATTAGTTGTCTTGGAAAGCGGCCACCTGTTTGACCAAGAAGGAAACGGGTATACAACGTTGATATCAATGTTACGGAAACGGACACTGAGAATGTGGAAATGAAATAAATTGGTTGAGGTCCTTAGTGTTAGAGGAGCGCAAACTTTGGCTTCCATTAACAGAGATTTAATACTGAGTGGATTGTATTTGAAACGCTATTATCATTAAACGCTGAACTGGGCGCGTAGAAACTTTCTGAGACGAATTGCGAAATTCCCTGTCCAGAGATTAAATGAGCTCGGTACTGTACTTCAGAAATGAATTGGTCACACGCGAGTAAAACATGTTACATAATCCGAATTGAATAATGATTTCCACTTTTCAATATTTTTGTTAGTATTTTAAGTTACGCGCCCATAGGAAGACGTAACACATATTTCGGTAGAGAAAAAACCTAATCCTTAACTCTCATAAAACTTTTACACATTGCTCTTCGTCTTGATATTTGAGTCTTGCGTGTAAGATCAATTAGCTCTGACGCTGCATGAACAAGACTTACAGGAAAACTAATTCTCATTCTGGTTCGTGCCAGCTTCAAAAGATTCTGCCCAGCAACTGTTCAAAGCAAATGAGTGATCTGCATTCTGTCTAGCAGATCCACTAATTGACTACATAACTGGCTGTTTCACGGACACAGTATGTATGTACCGCTTACATAATACATTAGTGATATTGAACCAAAAGTGTCATCATCGTCACCACAAAACCCACACGCTTATCCGGCACTGATACTGTTCCCCGGTTTCTCTGTGGCATCCCAACAATTACTCCATTCACACACAGAAGAAGGCAATGGCAAACCACTTCTGGATCATCTGCCAAGAACGTATATGAACAGGTCCCAGTCCGAGAAAAGGAAGGAAGAATCCTGTTCATATGGACCTGTCGTCAGACAGAAAACTAAATAAATAAATAATAAAATAAAATTACAACCATTCAATCCCGCAGGACTTTAAGTAATGCCGGTACGAAAGACATTCCCAAAATTAACGTAACGTTTGATAAACCTCCTTAAGCCGTCCCTTAAAAAACACTCCTCGAGTGATTTACTTCAGAGAAAACAATCAACTTCACGTAAAGTCTTCAACTACAGTCATAAAAGATAAGGACGCTGAGTCGACAGGAAATAATTTATATGACAAATCTATTGAAAACTATGCCTATGTCATAGGGGTGTTCTAATGCACGTATGTATTTAATCAGTGGGTTGTAATAATTCGAAGCTACAAAAACTTTGCAAAATATTAACAATACTTTATACTATAGCTTTCGATAGATGCAGGCACGTATTAGACAGAGGCTGCTTAATGGCTTAGTTACAGCAGAAACAAGTGTTATTAAGAAAAATAAAAACACGCGAGAATAGGGTGTTGTAGCCAGAATTGTAAAACCTGCTTTTCTGTTACATTTGCTTACAATCATACAAATCTTAGTCGTTAGTGTTATTTTTAGCTAATGTGCGTTTATAATCCAACAATAAAATACGTTGTAGCTCACGGATTAGCGTGCTAGCTCATGCGTAGGTCTGTCAGGAGATAA